GTAAGTTTGTTTCTCTGCTAGTTACTGACCCCAAAGTCATGAGTAAGGGATCGTGAATAATGTGTAAAGGCTGTAACTGGTTCAGAAAACCTTTAATTGGCTAATTAAAAAAAGCCCTATAAGGGGCTGCAGAGAATCACCCAAAATGTTCCTAATGCAGGCTGACGTTTTGATTTTCTCCAAAGTTTGAAGCAAGACTTTTGGTATGATCACAGTTTGAGTTAGAGCGGGTAGAATTACTTTCTTCCAACAACTCATTCATTCCTCCAAAGAGTGCTGACACAATCAGATCTCTCATCAGGGTTTAATGCTGAGTCTCATAGCCCTGAAGCAGCACAAAAATCTCTATTTCCTGAACATTTCACTGACCTGTGGTGTTAAAGACTTGCCAACTAAGACAAACCATTAAATGAGTAGGGAACCACAACAGTAAAAATATTGCATGAGGCAGCCATGGCTGGTAAGACCTCAGGGTCTAAATCCAAAAATACTTTATCGTCTTTAGTGGAACTACTGCTCTTTTAGAGGTGCGGGTTGAATTCCCCATAGTGGAGGTAGAATTTGAGACACACCACACACATGGACCTGGCACCAAGTTCCTGTGTGATCCATGCATATACCAGGACATCCCTGCAGTCCTCTGGCTGACATGTATCGCTGTCAGGACAGCCCAGCGCTGAATGTGACTTGCAGACCACACATTCTCTGCATCTGTGTGCTCACACTCTTACAGTACTTCAGCAAAATTGATGCTTTTGTTCTTTTGCAGTTTTCTTTCCACTGTCGAAGCAGGTTTAATTATATGCAATAAACAGCTATCTGCACTTGCAGACTTTAGATTAAGTTGTTAGTCAAGCTGGGGCTTAATCTTCTTGGTTTGCAAGCAGGGAAGGGACCAGTTATTTGTCCCATTTGTGACATGACAGAATTATAGGGTAATTAAGCCCAGAACGGACCTCAAGAGGTCATTGAGCCCAACCTCCTGCTCAAAGCAAAATGCATCTGTAGTGTTTAGGCACCACCTGCGTTGCAGCACTGGCACTGGAGAAAAGGGCCTACTTTGGCATACCCAGGTCATGACACATGTTTTGTATTGGGGGCTGTGCTCTACCATCATATCAGAATTACGTTTTTTAGCACATCCTTGCAATAAAAATTCCATTTTTGCTGATGACTTTCGTCAAACATCCACTTAATTTCCTCCTAAAAAGTTTCTCATTTATGCACATTCTAAAGATGATGTGTTGACAGTTTAGTGCAAGTTTCCTTGAATTGTCCTACAGATGAGCCTTAGAGTTCTCAGTTTATTCTTCCTGCTGTCCTCTGAGTGTGCATAATAACAAAATTTCTTTTCATTACCAACAAAAAGGATAGGTTGAAGTAGAGAGAGATTTCTGAATGCAGTTGTATTTTTCATTTTATTTACAGCCTCCCTTATGCTTCTGCCAAAAGTTCACTGTAATGTGCATATCCAGAGGGGTTAAAGGAAAAGCAAATATTGATTGTCTTGAGCTAAAGTTTGTGCATTCGCAACAATAAAAGTGAAGCAGTGAGACAGATGGAGCCACATCATGATATTTAAGCATAAAGGTCAGGGAGTGAGCTGCAGAGTGGTTATATTCAACAGGGTTTCAGTGCTTGAAGAACACGGATTGCTGCTGCTGACAGGTTTGTTAGAAACCTGTTTAGTTGCCACAAGCATGAATAGATCCAAACAGAAGCATCTATCATCATTAGAATGATAACCCCAAATACATTTATTTCTTGTTTGGTTGGGCTTATTCTTGTTCTTACTCTTAATCCCCACAGACTTTGGACTCAGCCTAAACATCATTTGATTTTTATGGTTGGCTTCATTAGCTTTTAGTGGAATTTCAGTGGCTTGGTTACTAAATCAAATCCACTGTGATTGTGGTTGCATATGCTTCACAGGCTTCTTGAATACAGCAGATGACTTGGAGGCCCGCTTCTCCTTTATTTTATGTGTTTTGGACCAACAAATCCTTTTGATTTCTACCTTCTTTGTGAAGTTAGTGCTGTTGTAGCTGCACAGACTGTTTGAATTTAGCAGTACAGAAACAAAGATGAAAACATTCTGCCTGGAGGAAAACCAATGTCAAATATTCCCACTTGGCTGTCCTTGTCAGGACGTCTTCATATTGCATTGCTTAGACAGTTCCCGATGTGTGTCTCTATCAGAGCTCTTATTTTATGACATATTTTGTTGTTTCCTTTTCCCTCCTCTTTTCCTCAGAGAACTATAAAAATTTATCTTTTGGGTTTTTTCTTTTTTTTGAGGTGCGGAGATTTTCTTTAACACATACTATGATGATTTCTTTCCACAAAAATCACCCAGAAGAGGAGTCCCCTCATTAAGTATTTACTGCCTTGTCATCAGACAATGCATTTAGTATTTGCTGGATTAAACCCCCAGTATTTGCTGGCTTCCCCCCTCCCCAAGATGTTTACCATTTCAACAACAGTGAAGAGTTAGTCGCATTATTAGGGGTATAGATTTAACCTGCAACAGTCCAGAGCAGTAGCCAAAGTGAATGCTTATTGTTAAGTAATGAAGTATTTTCCATTTCTTTGCACAGTGGTCCTTTGGGATGTGAGGCCTAAACAGCAAATCACGCAAGAGCCTTGCTGGCTCTAATTACACGGCTTGCTTAGGCCGTCTTCACTCCTGCAGTCAGTCACTAATCCACGTTAGCATGGAAAAGACAACAGACTCACTGCGGGGGACCTTGAAAAACTTTTAAAAAAAATGGGAAAAGTCAGAATTATTTAGTGTTTTCTCCTTGCAGCAGAATGCTGTGGCAGTGGCGGCATGAGGTGTTGGGAGGCCCAGGCCCTCTCTCCCACTGTGAGGCTGCTCTTCACAGGTAACTGATGGACAGAGCCAAACTTCCAGCTATTCCTCAGTTGCCTCCACTTCCCCAGCGGGAAGGACTGGGGGTGAGGAGGCTTAGCCAGCACTGTGTGCCCACTCCTGCCCCGCCACAAGCCAGGCACCTGCCCAAATGCCCTGGGCAGCCAGCCCATCCTGAGGAAGGAAGGGGCACGCTGTGGGCGACGGGCTCAGGGAAAACCCTTCTCTCCCTCGTGTGTGTTCAGGGCCCAAAACAGCAGAGGTGTCTCAGGTGTAGGGTGCTGGGGGAGGCGAGGTCCTGCCTGGTGCGATGGGCTTGCTGTGAGGGACCCCTGGGCAGGACGTGGAGCTGGGCCAGGCAGGACCCTCGCTGGGGCTGTGTCCCAGCCTGGCTGTGGAGCAGCAGCTCGGGTCCCTTCTTGAGCAGAGGCTGCCCGGAGAGCCGAGCACATCTGTCAGCTCATTGTCTGTGTGGAGCCGAGAACAAAGAGGAAAACAACAGAAAAAATGCAAAATGCATTTAAAAATACTCTTTCATTTCCCTTTTTGCCAGAAGCAGAAGTACTTAAATAACAGAGGACAAAAGCAGCTCTTGCAGAATTTCCAAGAATTGGGAAAAGTAAAAAGTCCTGTGAGAAGGACTGTTTTTAGGAGACTTCCACCCCATCCTGCCAGACCTGGGCGTGCAGTCTGGGGAACCCCTGCAGAAACGCTCCCAGGAGCTGCCTCCCCCTCTCCAAAGCAAACACCAGCCTTGCGGCTGCAGTATTTCAAGTCACATTGGTTCATTTGGATACATGTCCCCTATTTATTTTAAAATCAAGCCTTCAGAAAGGTATGAGGCAATTTTTTTTCCCATCAGTATTTTTCTTCTGCAAATTGCTTGGCTAAAAGGCTCAGCAGAATATAAAAATCAAAGGGGTAGAGATTAAAATCTAAACACAAAAAAAAGTAATAAGAAGGGCATTGCTAAAAGATATTTCTGGGAAGTGTGGGCAACAGTAGATTTGAGAAATATTTGTAGCCAGGTGAAGCACCCAGTCTGTGTACGAATGTCCTGTCACTACTGATGTACTCTTATATGACGGGAGTTACTTTGATAGCATTCCATACAAGGGGATCAAATTTTATTTTCCTCTATAAATACAATTTTGTGTAACTCAGAATGAAGATGAGCTGTGTGGATGTAATTAAGAGCAGAAAGACTTCCAGTGGTTCAGAGGTAGAGGCTGTCACACATGCAACAAGGTGCTTTTATACTGAGTATGGTGAACATTTGGTGCTTTATAGCAACTTTAGGACTGCTGGTGGCACTGTCATAGCCCACAGTGGTGGCAGTGCTGAGGCATGGATCTACTGTCGGAGATGTTGGGCTTGTTCCTCAGTCAGAGGAGATGTATTGCTAGATATCATGTGCTGAGGTTTCATATTGCACATACAAGAAATGAGTATAAATAGTAAGAGGGTATGCATAACAGAAATCAAGCACCCTATACAGCTGGTTTCCCAATTATGGTAAGAATCTGTCCCTGTTGTACTACTTCTAGAAAAACTTATGCTCCTGTGAGAATTCAGAGCATCTGCCAGTTTCACTGCAGCATCTCTAAAAATCAGTCCTGAAGTGGCTCAGTTTGCTTGCGTCCATCTCCAAGCACGCCATACAAGATCTGGATTTTTAGCTAGTACATCCTCCACCTCCTCGCCACTGGTGGGGAACCATGTGGTCTTAGCTTAAAATAGCGGAAAGTTTGCTGAGCTGCTAACTGAATGTGACCATTAACAAGTTATCTGACCTTCTGATGCCCTCCATCAGTCAAGCTAGCTGAAATCAAGTCTGGTAAAAACTAGGTGTTGCACCTGTCCTAAATATTTAGTTCCTCAGTTTGGCTAATTTCTACATAAATGTTTAATTTTAATATGTATGTAAGCCTTTTCCTTGCGAGAGAAGTGTTCAATGATATGTTTAAAATAAATGCTGTTGCTTTTGGTTAGTCCTGGGGAGGTGCTTGAAATTAAGTCTGTTTTGAGAGCTTTGCTAACTTGATGCCCTTAATTTGTCTCTTTTTTTTAAGTGAAACTTTATGATTTAAAAAAATACAGTGAGGTTAATATTGTGATATTCCTCTAGATGGGCAGCAGATTTGGGAAATGGAGGCAACAGTGGACAAAGATAAGAGCCAGCCTGTAAGTATGCAAAAATTGATGTCCTCTTCTTGAGCTTCTCAGACAGCAAGTTGTATTCAAGGGGTAGTTTTCAAAGAGCGTCTCAAAAGCAGAAAGAGCTGCTATCTTACTGCTGTGGTGAACAAATGTCAAATGCTTCAGCAGTAAATGTGTTGCAAAAAGAAACTATTCATCTAGCAGTAACCCACAGCAAATTCAATAACTGCTAGATTTTGTGTTCTTGCAGAAGACTATTGTATCAGCCCAGTCCTCTGCAGGATGCTGGCTGTCCTGACTTCCTTTCGCCTGTATGGAAGTCTTGGGTGCTCTGTACTTTGCAGGACAGGATTTGTACTATCTTATTTAAAATGAACACTGGTCTTTCAAGGGAATGAGCCTCTTTGTTCACTTTGCTTAATGGGACCTTACTGTAGTCGTTCAGTGCATTTAGGAGCTAGCACTTACATGGCCATGGGCCATGCCTGCCCTTGCGGAAGAGAACGGGAGACTCGCTGTTAATTTCCATGGAAGCAGGATCCGGCTGTGTATAAGTAAAAAGCCTATAGAATTATCAAGTTTATTCTAACAAAAAGAGGGAATTCTGCAATACATACTTGTTTGTAAATCGCACTGTGCTTGATAGTACTGCCACATTTATTACCATTCTGTGTGTTTTATTTGTAGCTGAGACTTTTCTCTCCAAGTTCAGGACAACATCAAGTACAGGAGAGGATACAGTACATAGAAACCAGCTTCCTCGTATTAAAAATCTTCTAGTCTTTCACCATCTGCCCTTTTTTCCCTTTCTTCTCATACCCTTCTTTATAGGGATGAATAGGAAGATTTCCCTATGCCTGGATGCATAACAGGGGAGATGCACGCAAAAATCTCCAGTCAGCCTCAGTTACTTGTCACCTTTTGTTGTTTCAGAGCATGCTTTTTGTAGAAATACCAGAGTACCGTAACAAGCACATTCGTACAGCTGTGAAGGTGAATTTCTACGTCATCAATGGGAAAAGAAAAAGAAGCCAACCCCAGCATTTTACCTATCACCCAGGTAATTGTCAAGGACAGAGCAAGTTGTTGTCTAGGTCTTATGAGCAAGATTTTATTTTCTGCTATATGGTTTTCTTGCCATTATTTGAGGATCTAAATTTTACTAATTTAATTCAGCTGAGTGCAGCTGAGCACTCAACAACTGTTTGTTTTAGAGGATGCATGGGATTTATGATCAGGAATTTCTCATAAGTTTAAGGGGACAGTTATCTTGGCAATGGGCTGGTGCTGCCCCATTCACTTGAAGTTTGCAACAGCCTCAGTGGGAGCAGACTCAGTCTGTGACATAAAGTGACCCTGTGAAAACCATGAGGATTGCCTTCCCCAGATGGATGTGTACGACAGTAAGATAACAACAAATCTGGGAAAGTAACAAGGGCTTGGTATGGAGGAAGATGAGCAATATATATTCTTGAGAATGAGGCTGGTTGAGAAAAATACGAATGCTTTTCTGATGTTCTTCCTCTTGGGAATGGGTGAGCCATGTCACAATAAATGCAATAGGATTACTAATGAGATTCCCAGAATTTCTCAGCTTTGGCTGGGAGAAAAATATTGTGAGAAAATCAGAGTATTGTGTTTGTGGAAACCAGAAAGCATAAAATAACAGTACCAGATTTTATGCAAGCTTCAAAATGATGTCTTAATTTGACTAGTTTCTAAGGACAGGCAAACGTTCATTTTGATTCTTATTTTGGTCTCCTCCATCCTGAAAATCTCTGGCCCTCTCCCTGAATTTATGAACTGCATAGGGTATCACCAATGTGAAGGTTTTGCATAGTTGCTAAATTGTTCTGCTATGGAATAGTATTGAGAAGTACAATACGATCCCTAAAATAGACTACTTCAGATAAGGAACCCTTACACTTCCGAAAAATAATGCTGTTGCATGACCGTTATGTGGTTTCCATCGTATGGTATTTCTGTACTGAGTTTTGGAGAAGATTTGGCAAAAAAATCATTAGAAATGTGAGAATTTGTCTGTAGAGGACCATCATGTATCCACATCAAGATTTACACAACTGTTACTATATCACGGTCTTTTAACTGATGGTGTCAGAAGGGTCTTCAGCTCTCAGTACTGAGGAAATTGCATGCAGCAAAGGAATTAAAAGCTCCAAAATCTTTCAACTCTGCCTTTGGTCACTGGTTAAATGATTGAGAGGAAAAACGGGGAGTTGTATACGTCGTAGGATTCCTATTTATTCAGTCTTCCTTTGAAATGGAAGTACTACCTGAAACACCTATCTATGGCTTCTTATTTTGCTTATATTCCAGAATGGCCCTTAAATGAATTAAAATCTGAGCTAAAGTATTGAATTTTTCAATTTTTAGAAATTTATGGTTCAATAGTTCATTAAAGATTTTCAGAAACCTCTTAGTTACAGAGTGCTTTCAAGAGAGATTCTGGCATGATTGCATATATGTGATTTATTAAACTCAGTGCCTGCAAGATAGGAGCTCGCACATGCAAATTTTGTCAATGGCTTAAATCTCTTATTACTTCAAGGAAAACCTCTTTTTCTCATCAGCTTGTTACGAATAATATCCTTTGCATGCTTTATTCTAGTACCATCAATCAAAACAGAGCCCATTGATGACTATGATCCAGCCTTAATCTGCAATACAGTACACAGTGGTCTGGGAACAGTAACACAGCCTTACTATTCACAGCATACAATGGTCACCGAATCCCCTTCCTGTCTTGTGGCCACTATGGCTCCTTGCCAGCAGTTGCGCTCAGGCCTTTCTTCTCCTGATTCTCGATACCATCAGCAGAATCCATCCGCTGTAATATACCAAAGAAGCAAGAGCCTTAGCCCAAGTCAACTGGGCTACCAGCAATCCAATTTGATGGCTACACCGGTTGCTATTTCAGATGCCCATAGGTCAGTGCTGGTGCACGCTGGATCTCCAGGCCAAACTTCAGCGGTGCTCCACCACTCTCCAGGTAACCAGCAGTCTTCTCCAGTGATTCATTATTCTCCAACCAACCAACAGCTGAGGTGTGGAAGTCACCAAGAATTTCAGCACATAATGTGCTGTGAAAATTTTACATCCAGTGTTGCAAGATCCAGCCAGCCCCAGGTCAGTCAACCACAAAGGTTAAGTCCAAGTTCATATCCTACTGTGATTCAGCAGCAGACAGCCTCGGGCCAGCGAGCAGCAAAAAATGGACCACCAGTTAGCAACCAGAAAGAAGTATTACCAGCTGGAGTCACTATTAAACAGGAACAGAATCTGGACCAAGCATATCTGGATGATGGTAAGCAATGCTTTTCTCTTGTATGGGTCGGTTTCTTGGAGGGAGGGGGAAGTTTAGGACTTACAAATCCTACCTGTTCCTCAGCACAAAACCAATGTGGCCTCCTTTCGATGAGTGTGGATATTTGCTGTTTGCTTATGCTGCATTTTGGTCTTCCATTGACTACATTTTTGGTAGATGGCAATGCACTTTGGCAACCAAGCAAAAACCGTAGTGTTCTGCAGAAACACTGTCTTGCTTCATGCCATGGAGTGAGCTGTCAGGTTTCAAGCTGTTGCCATTTTGTTTCCATTTGCCAAAGGTTCGTTTGGAAAATGGAGAATCTGAAACAAAATGCACTTTTAAATTATTTTTTTATTATTCATATCAGTGCAAAGTCCACTTTGTAAAATGCTTTTGTACATTTTGTACCCAAAAAAAAAGCCCATTGAACAGTCTATCAAGGCCTGTAATGAATGGGGTAGTGCTGCAGGCAAAACTATTGCAGATGTTCTAGATGAACAGTAGGACATTGATAAGTAAAACAATACTGTTTCTTTGTTGTAAGCCCAGCAGATTTAGCCTTTAGGAATGAATATAAGTTAGATTAAAGCTTTCTTTGAATGTATCCTGCTTATTCTTAGGTAGGCAGCTATTGGCAATCTGGTTGATTGGTTCTTTTATTAAAATGTGTTCCTTGCAAGAGGAAATCGATGCAAAGTTAATAGTACAGCTGGATGCGGCAGTCATAAAGGCCAGTAGCAAAGCCAACATTGACTTTAGTGGGAACAGAGTGAGGTTGCTGGATATATTGCTGCAAATATAGGGTGTTCTTATGCATGAAGTAGAGACCTGGTTTTCACATATATTCACTGCTGCCTCTCAGTCTAGGCAATTGCACCTATAATCTTGTGAACGTGCACGGTTATGTGCTTTGGAAGCACCCAGTAGTTTGTGATTTTTACTGCAGTTACTCATCTAGAGTTGTGAAATTGTGCCCATGAAATTTTACTTAGGTACTGAGTGATCTGTGGCTGTGTCACGTACAGTCTTCATTGATGTTTTTGTGGGCAGAGTAGAGTTTGGATGGTTTTCTCTCTTAGTCTGTGTTTGAAATGTTGATATTGTTTTGGTGCAATCAAAATCTAATTACTAAATCACGGTCTTTTAACTGACGGTGTCAGAAAGGTCTTCAGCTCTCAGTACTGAGGAAATTGCATGCAGCAAAGGAACTAAAAGCTCCAAAATCATTCAGCTCTGCCTTTGGTCACTGGTTAAATGATTGAGAGAAAAACAGGGAGTTGTGTATGTCATAGGATTCCTATTTATTCAGTAAAAACTCTCCAATCTGGAGTTTTTACTAGTCCCTTGTCTGAAGAGGAGTGTTGAGTTGGATTTTAACAGTGAATTTAGGAGATTTGCTGGATCTGCAAGAAAATAGCTAAGTAAAATCCAACTCCCATTCAGGAAATGGGGCATGATAACGAAGTAAGACAATATTTCTAACAGTAAAATTGAACACTGTGTTTTAAGGTACTTTTAATATGAGAAGTTGAGAGATTCTTCCACATTTCTAAAAACACTTGGTACAAACCTTGTAAAGGAAAGAATCTTGAAGTAAAAGCTAGCAAACATCAGTCGAGCCAAAGTCCTCTTAAATGAACTCCCCAAATGGTCTGCAAAATTAATTTCACTAGGTTTTGAATCAGGCGAGTAACATCTAACTATAGCATAGCTCAGAAGGGATGCACTTGACCTCCATGCTTAGAGGAACCATTAGGCAGAATAGCAACAAGTTAATAATGAAATTCCAGGCTTCTGCTTGGCTGACTGGATTATCTTGAATTGATTTCAACTAAAGATTAATTTATCAATAATGCCACCCAAATCAGGCCAGGCAAGATAGGTCGCATGCAGTCTCTTTAGTGACTTCAGTGAGTTTACATTAGCTAGAAGTGTGACTTGGAGAACTGTGATTTACTTTAGGACTCTGCAAAACATTTCATTCTGAAATGCTCAGGACTTGAATTGAAAAGCCACTTTGTTTGCTGCTGGGGAAAAGTGACTCAACATAACAAAAGCCATATTTTTCTTAACTAGAAAGTTTATTTTTTGTGCTTTATAGTATTAAAAGAAAGCAAACTCAAAGGATTATGGAGGCTTTACCCTCAAATCCCTTTTATCCAGAAAGCTCTTTTGAGATAAAGTGAGCTGTTAGGTCTTGCTGTGATTTTTCACGCATAGATACTGAGATGATGGTTCCCCAGCCAGGCTTGGCATGAGTGTGCTGCACTGCTGCTGATGCACAGACTCTTAGGCAATCACTGTTTCAGTGTCTCTCGCTTCCCTTCACTCTTCTTCCCTTCCCCCATCTTCCTCCTCTCTCTTCCTTGTTCTTCTTTCTCCATATTTCTGCTGACAGTCCAGCTTTCGTCCCTTTCTATGGTTGTGACCTCATCTTCTCAACTCTTCTCCTCTGCCTTCGTGGTTAACACGCAGCCTTTGTGTTCTGGACTTTGCTTCTATTCTGAGCTTTGCCACAAACTTCTTGAGTGACCTGGGACAAGCCCGGCTCCATCAGTTCCTCATTCCTGAAGCTATTGCCTCTCAGAGTGAGTACGCTGTCCCAGTCTTTGAGGTTTCCTGGAAGTGACCAGAGAACATCTCATAGCTAACACAATTGCTATTTCTCTTTACCTCTTCCAGTTTCCTGCTGCCACTGCTGGCAGGACCACTCATTATTTTCTTATCTTCCCTGCTGCAAAAAAAAGTTCTCTTCCTCCTGAGACCATGGTTTGTTCTTTGCTCAGAGCCTTCACTGCTCCACAGGGCACATAATACTGGGGACTTAGCACACTTAACTTCCTCCCTTCTAAAGATAAGAGCTGGTTCCACCTCCGTGGGAGGATTACAGTCAAATGCATGACCATAGCTGACAAAGCTGTAAGCTCTGGAGGTTGAATAGCACCAGCAGTGTAGCCAAAACAGCATGGACTTTAAGGCAGGTGATGGCAAGTATTTACCTGTCTGCTCAGGTGGGTTTTGCCACGTGTGAGGACCTCTTTGTGCAGTAGCTGCACAATTGGTACTATCCATACTGTCTGCCTTAATGGTAACTTCAGCATACCTGTAGATCATTTCTGACCTTACTGCAGATGTAGAGACCTGCCATGTGCTTTCTTGGAATTTCCCCCTCTTCTCCTGTTGCTGCTGCTACCTCAGAGCAAGAGGTGCCCAGCCCAGCCTGTGCAGCCCCCTTGCAACTTCCCAACTTTCCACTCCCAGACAGAATTACGAAACACATGGTTATTGGAAGGAAGGCTCTAGCTGTCAAGTTCTAGGGGTTGGATTTGGAAATGCAGTCATTAGGGAGACTGGTGCAGGTTTGCCATTGCCATACATATGTGTAACTTCATATACATATTCTTCCACATACCTCCGTATTTCTCTGTCAAAAAATATATATTTGTAACTATTTGATATCAAATAGTCTAAACATTAATCCCCAGAGGAAGGGACTATTCATGAAAAATTGGCAGAGAAACCTTTGTTGCACACCTCTGCCTCAGAGATTCATTACTGTTGGAAATACTTTGGGAGTGCAGATGAGCTGTGGTCAGATCCATCAGGATGCATCAGATGTCCAGGCTAATGCTGGCAAGCAGTGATTAGCTTCAAATGCAAGTGAAAGCCATAGAATGAGAGAGTGCTCAGCGTGTTTCAGCTGAGACCTCATCTTAATATTATTCATAACCAAACCACCCACAATGGTAAAAGTTGCACAAACGACCACAGAAATATATTGACAATTAGAACGTAGTTCTTCCAGGACCTTCAGAGCAATCAGATTATCTCTTTAAAGCACAAACCAAATTAAAAATTTAGATATTTGCAGCACCGTCCAAAATCCCTTGGTGAGGCAGAAATGAGAGAGAGGGTGACCCAGGGTTTGGGGCACTGGTTGTTCCCTGGACTGCCCATGCTCATGCTGCAGAGCGAGAGGTTTCCTGTGTAGCCCGCGGGAAGCTGCTCAGCTGCCGTGTGCCGCAGTCCCCCATCTGCAACACAGGGATACAAGGATTGTGTGACAAGAGCAATAGGAGGATAAATGCATCACAGACTCTAAAGCATTCAGATGCAACACTATCTACAAGTGCCTTGTAGGGATTTGAGTGTCAAGTATGGTGTTAGGCTCTTTCCATATACAAATAATGGACATGTAGCTGTTGTCTTGACTGTTATCAACTTGCCTGCCTTAGATTTAGTTCTTTTCAGTTCAGCTGTCATGTTGTGTGCTTTTTACTTTACAAAGATAAATGATTGTCATTATTCAAATAGTAACTATCTAACCACATCTGACACTCAGAACTGTCTGCTTGATACAGCAGCTCTAAATTATTTTTGGTGCACCAGTAATCTTTAATGGGGAGGAGAAAAGCAAGGCAGATGCTTGTGTAGTGGTTTATCAGACTGCCGATCAGCAGAGATGTTTTATAGTGAACTCATGTATTTCACAGAAAATTTCAGACAGCAGATATTTCTTTAGAAAATGGATCTCCAGGGTGTGCAATGTGGTGCTTGTAAATCACCCAGCACTTTCGATCACCTTCACTATGAGCAATGTGTTCATTTGTGCAGTTTTGCTCCCCACCGCAGTAACCATTGCCCTAACCGTGGGTCTTATCCGAGACCATTTAGAGTGTGTTCGGTCCCTACCTCTTCTTTATATGGCCTTTCATTCAACAACAAGCAAATCCAGTCTGTCCCCACAGTGGCATGAAATGACATTCAAATCATTCTTTTCCTCCATGTTCAGGAAGAATCTTTCTTTTCTGACCAGCTTTTTTCTTCTTAGGCCAGTAGCTATTAGACACAATCCTGAGCAGGGTATACCTCCAGGAAACCCCGGGTCTCCTGGGGACCCGAGAAGCAAAGCTACTGTGTCAGCACTGAGTAAGCAGCAGTTGGGATTGAGCTTCTTCCTGAAGGCTTTGGTCTCTCTCTTGACTTCCCTGCAGTGCACAGCCCACTCTGCATCCGTGCTGGTCCTGCGTGCTCCATGGGGAGACCAGCGTGCATGTGCGGGTGAGAGCAGAGGGTCAGTACAGCCTGGCGGGAAGGCAGGACACAGGGGCCTCCTCGCAGCCAGCCTAGTCCTTAGGGCTTTGGTTCGGGTGCTAGCACTCCGTGAGCATCCTCCTCACCCTCCCCAGCCCCTGCACAGCGGATGGAGGAGGGGGTGGCTCCAAGCCAGCTCTGTCAGCTCGCTGCCAGTTGGGGATTTCCCTGTGCTGGGGGAACCTCAGCTGCACAGTGAAGGTAGTTTTAAGCCATCCGTTCACTAGAGCAGTGGAGCCTCACTATCAGGGGCCAGTGGTCCAGCCGCCTGCCTGGCTTTTCTCTCTTAACACTGTATTGATTTCATCCCCAGAAAGCACAGAAGATGGTGGCTTTAGGAGCATGGGTTAGTTCGCTTTGTAGTTGTTTTCATCATGTGTCCATGCACAGTGAAATAGCAATACAGGGCAGAGGGGGAAATGTTCCTGTTTCCTGGCATTTTACACAGGGGTGAATTTGAATGTTGCAATGGGGCTGTGGTTCAGTTAGAGCAACAATTTGCATCAAAAAAAGCCATGCTCTGTTTTTAATTAGAACTACTTTTCATAGAAGGTGTGGTCATTTCTGCTTAGGCAGAGTTTGACTAAGTGAAGCATGTACCTTCTCCAAAACATTTCACTCGAACACTCTAGCAAATCTATGTATTCATCAGACTCATTCTTGAAGCTATGACTC